TATGGTTACAATTAGTAGAAATTCACAATATATTATTATGACGAAAGGATTTAGAAATATATTTCAATTAAATTATTTACTTAATCAAGTATATATTAAAAATAAAAATAATATTATAAATTTTTTTACAAATAATAAATATGGTTATTTAGTAATAGACTTACACCCAAGATCAAACGATTTATATCGTATAAGAACACGAATTTTTAAAGAAGAATTGCCTTCTAGTTTAGCCCAAAAACATAGCTTTTGCCCAATTTATTTACCATTATTATAAAAATGAAAATAATATCAAATAGTTTAAAAAGTTCACTCCCCCTTTTACGATTGGCTGCAAATGTTCAACCTTCTTTAAGAAAAAAATTAATGAAAGAACTTAGTAAAGAAAAAGTTGTATATAATGCTTTACACGAAATTTCTCATAACATTTTAAGTTCAAACGTTGAGTTGAGCAAAGCACAAAATAAATACGTTAAAAAATTTAGACCATTATTTAAAAAGTTTTGTTGCAAGAAAAATCGACAGTGTTCAAAAAAAAGAAAAAAATTAGTTGAACAAGCTGGAAACGGTTGGTTTATCCCATTATTAATCCCAATAATAGCATCTATAGCTAGTAAAATAGTAGAAAAATTTTAACAAAAAATGTCTGAACCTATGGTAATTTATCCTTATGATTTAGAAAATAATGATTTAAACGTAGAAAACAGCGCTTCTGATATTAATACAGTTACAACAACGAAAAAAAACAAAGGTAATTCATTAGAAAAACAAATTCGTATTTTAAAAATTGTTTTAAAATTAGCAAAAATAAATGGCTTTGATGATAATCTCAATATTAAAAAACCAAATGGTTTATATGATAAAAATACAAATATAGCTAAATTATTAAACATAACACAAAATAAAGTTAAAGGAGTGAATGGGCTTTCTGACTTAATTAATTTATTATTTGAAGCAAAAATAAACCCTGATCATATAATAAATGAAATAGTTAAATCAAAATTATTAGATTTGTATAATTTTAAAAATAATGTATACAAAAATGATATAAATAAATCAAGTGTTGATACTATAGATACTTTTACTCAAATCGAAGACTTAAACAACGATTATTTAACAGATACTAATACTAATAATAATATAAATAATATTTCACAGAATGATAATAAAGACAACAATGAAAATATAACAGAAAATACTGAAAATATAAATATAAATGATATCCATACAGAAATAATTAAAAAAATGAATAAAAAGAAACGTAAAAGTGATATAAAAGACAAGTTAGAAATTAAGAAACCAATGTGGGATATACCATTTGATAGTGAAGATGATTAATGATTTATTATCAGACTTATATTACAATACATCACATCCAGCATCGTATTCAGGAATTCATAAATTATATTATTATGCTAATAAAATAAACAATAATATAACTATTAAAAATGTAAAAGATTGGCTAGCAACACAAAAAAGCTATACTTTACATAAACCTATTATTAAAAAGTTTCAAAGAAATAAAATTATAGTTTCATATATTGATGAACAATGGGAATGTGATTTAATAGATTTAAAAAATATATCAAATAATAATAATAATTTTAAATATATTTTAATGATAATTGATTGTTTTTCAAAATATGCTTTTGCTATAAGTTTAAAAAATAAAAATGCAAAAACTTTACTAGATGAATTTAAAAATATTTTTAAAAGAAGAAAACCAACAAAATTACGAACAGATAAAGGAGGCGAATTTGATAACAAATTCTTTAAAGATTTATGTAAATCAAATGATATTATTTTTTTCACAACTCAAAACAATGATATTAAATGTGCAATTGTTGAAAGACTAAATCGTACTATAAAAGGAAAATTATTAAAATATTGTTATACAAATGGCACTTTTAAATATGTCGATCAATTATCTAATATTATAAATGCTTATAATAGGTCAGTACACAAAAGTACAGGATTTGCTCCAATAAACGTTACAAAAAATTTAGAAAAAATAATATTTAATAATTTATATAAAACAAATAATATAAAAGATTTGTATTTTAAAAATCAACAAAAACCAAAATTTAATATCGGCGATACTGTTCGTAGAAAATATGATTTAAAAGCATTTGATAAATCATATTATCCTCTATGGACAGATATGATATATAAAATTAATAAAGTTATACACAAACCAAAAATTTCACAATACAGTATTGGTATAGAAGACGAAACATTAAAAAGAAAATTTTATCCTCAAGAATTACAAAAAGTAACTGTTGACAATAATACACTATATCGTATTGAAAAAGTAATAAAATATAGGGTTGTAAACAAACAAAAACAAGCCTTAGTTAAATGGATCGGTTACCCGTCGAGATTCAATCAATGGATACCATTGGAACACATAAAAAATCTTTAAATAATGTTATTAATAATGATTGTGCTATAACAACTTCAAGTTTAATATTATTTGTTTTTCAAATGCTTATTATTCTTATCGTTGTATCAGTAAGTATATATAATCTTACAAAAAATACTGGAGACACTAATCTATGGACTGCCTTGCTGTCAAGTTCTATTGGTTATATTTTACCTAATCCAAAATTAAAACCATTACAAAATAATGATACAAATAAATAACTATATAATACATGTAATATTCATATTTATATTCATTAATACTTTATGTTTATTGATTTTTATAAATAATTATAAATATAACTTTTTTTATAAAGCAAATAAAATTATGGAAAAAGAAAATTTTTATATTCATTTAAGTAGTAATATTAACCCTACTAGTCCAACTGAAATATCAAATACTATAGGCAATTATATTACAAGACTGCATCAAAACATTAAATTATCTAATGAATGGGAAGTTGCATTAACAGATATTTCTTATACTAAAAGTTGGTATAATATAATGGAAGACCAAAAATTATTTTTTGTTGATACTGATAAAAATATAATTGAATTGAATACAGATTTACCAGCGGGTAACTATGTAACAGTTGAAGATATTCTAGATAGCATAGATAAGTTATATTCAGATTTTATAGAAAATAATAAAAATTTAAATATTATATTAGCTCCAAAATTAATTTACAATAAACAAGCAAATAAAATAAAAGTTAGATTAGGTCGTACAAGTGAAAATTTTTTATTTCCACAATTTTCATTGTTTTTAGCAAAATTTTTAGGTTTATGTGATTCTCAAAATAACCAGTATCCAAATACTGAAAATATAAATTATATTTATAAAATTCCAAAAAATGATATTGATAATACTAAATCTCAATTAATAACCGACAATGATTCTCATTTTAAAATTCCAGTCATTGATACTATTGTACAACTTGCCAAAAAACTTTCAACAAGAAATCAAATTTCTGAAAATATTACAGGTAACCAAAACCAAAACAATCAAAATATTGTACAACAAAATTACGAAAATTTAGTTTTAAATAGCGATTTGAAACCTGATGCAAAAATTAAAACCAATGAAAATGAAAATAATAATAAAATAGTTGACCAAAACATAGCAAAACTAGATACAGAAAATAAAAACAATGTTAATGATAATAATAAAACAATTGAACAAAACGTCACAAATCTAGATACAGAAAATCAAAGCAATGTAAATAATAATACTAAAACAGTTGACCAAAATATCACAAATGTAGATACAGAAAATCAAAGCAATGTAAATGATAATAATAAAACAATTGAACAAAACGTCACAAATCTAGATACAGAAAATCAAAGCAATGTAAATAATAATACTAAAACAGTTGACCAAAATATCACAAATGTAGATACAGAAAATCAAAGCAATGTAAATTATAATAATAAAACAGTTGACCAAAATATCACAAAGGTAGATACAGAAAATCAAAGCAATGTAAGTGATAATAATAAAATTGTTGACCAAAATATCACAAAGATAGATACAGAAAATCAAAATATTGTAAATGATAATAATAAAAAAGTTGATCAAAACAACATTAAATCTGATAGTATTTCTGAAACTCAAAAAAATAAATCTGATAATACATTAAATAATTCAAATAAAAAACTTAAAGTTGATAAAAATAAAGTCACTAAATCGAAAACATATAAGCACTTACTTCCTCTTCCAGTAAATAGAAAACCTGTACCGTTATTAGAAGAAAGAGGTCATAATTTAGAAAAAAGAAATATTCCAATAGACTTAAAAATTTATTTAGAAAGTTTTTATGAAGTCACATTAAATAGTACAATCAATTCTTTATACTTATATTGTGATTTGATTAAACCAGTTTTTGTAGGAAATCAAGAAAAACAACTTTTAAGAAGAGTTGAAATACCTAATAATAAAATATTTGGAGATAATTGTGAAATTAATTATTCAAATCCACATTATTATTCTTTAGTTTCTTATGAATTTAATTCTATTGAGATCGATATTAAAGACGATACAAATAAAAGTATAAATTTTGCATTTGGACGTACATCTGTAACTTTACATTTTAGAAAAAAAATTAATAATATAAAATGACTAATCCATATTTAAATTATTATGCAAATCAGGCTGGCTCTGGTATACCAGGTTTTGAAGGTTATAAATTTCAAAGAGGTGATGGTTTTGCAGAAGTTTGGGGCACTATATATAATAGAGGAATTTTACCTATGATAAAATATATAAGTCCAAAACTATTTAATGCTGGAGCTGACATAGCTAATGATGCATTAGAAGGTAAGAATATAATCGATTCACTTAAAACTCGAGGTAAAGAGTTAGGTAAAACAGTTATAAACGATTCTGGTAAAAGAGCTATGAAATTTGCACAAACAGGTAAAGGTAAAAGACGTCGTGGACAAAAAGGGAAAGGCAGAAGACGTAAACGACAAACAGGTAAAGGTAGAAAAAGGCGTGGACAAACTGGTGGAAAAAAGTATAAAAAGTCAAGTAAAGCACTGTTTAACCGCAAAAACATTAAATCGATATTTGGATAAACATGAGCTTAGTAAATGAAAAATCATCTTTGGCTATTGTACCTGAACTAGATATTTTTAGTAATTCATTGGTTCAAACTTCAATAAAAGAACGATTTTGTGAAGAAGTTCGACCTTTATCTCAACTTAATAATGGTGGACATATTGAATTTGAAATTAAAAGTAATATTGATGAGTATATTTCTTTATTCGATTCAACATTATATTTTAGTTTTCGAGTTAAATTAGCAAAAACGAATAATACTGAAATAGTTGAGAATGATTGGAATAATGTATCATTAGTTAATAACTTTTTCAATTCTTTATGGAGCCAAATAGATGTGTCTATAAATGATTCACAAACATCATCATCTTTACAGACATATGCTTATAAATCTTATATAGGTAAAGTTTTATATACTTCAGAAAGATCAAGGCAAACATATTTACATTATGAATTATTTACCAAAGAAAATATGAAAGGAGAAAATGTAAATATTCCTGTAAAACAAAGAATTGAATTAATTAAAAATGAAACAAGTGAACCTCCTCATACAGGAAAGTATGTTGAATTAGAAGGCAAATTATTTATCAGTATGTTTCTACAGACAAAATTACTTGTTGGTGGTACAAAATTAAATATAAGAATGATTCCCAATAGACCTGAATTTTATTTTATGACTAATGATAGTACATTAATACCTAGAATTCATTTTGAAGATATTCACTTTAATATTATTAAATGTCGAGTATCTGAAGATATTGTTGCAGCACATACTAAAAGTTTTAATATACATAAAGATGTTGCAGCAAAGTATATACTGAATAGAAGAGAAGTACGTACAGTTACCATAGATGCTGGCGCGCGTAGTAGAAATATAGAAAATGTTATTAATGGACAATTGCCGCATAGGGTATACGTAGCATTTGTAACTAATGAAGCTTACAGTGGATCATATACTAAAAATCCATTTAATTTTTATCATTTTGATATAAATTCTATTTCTTGTTTTATAAATGGAAATCAAATTGCAAGAAAACCATTTACGCCAGATTTTGGCAAAAACAAATATTGTCGTGAATACCTGGAATTATTTAAAGTAACTCAACAATATGATGAAAAAGGTAAAATGGATATAACTAGTGAAGATTATAAAAATGGTTTTACTATATTTGGATTTAATACAAATCAAGATCATACTCATGGTTATCAAGATACAGGTTACGTAAACGTTCCACAATATGGTATTATGAGATTTGAAATACATTTTGAAAAACCTCTACCAACAATTGTTAATGCATTATTTTATTACGAGTTTGAGAATTTAATAAGTATGTATAAAGACAAGTCTATAGCAATGGATTATCGTTAATAATGTTTACTACAGAAATTATCGAAAAATTAAATAAATTATCTAATTTTGGTGGTGTGTTTGCTAGAGATACACTACCAGTCTCAAATACTTTCCCATGTGGTATAATTGTAAATACTGATAAATCATCTGAACCTGGAACTCACTGGATAGCTATGTTTCTTAATGATAATGGTTATGGAGAATATTTTGATTCATATGGATCCCCGCCTTACTATTTAGAATATATCAATTTTTTAAATAAATATTGTCCTAATGGTATAAATTATAATAATATTACATTACAATGCACCACATGCATAACTTGTGGTGAATATTGTGTTAGCTATATAATCTATAAGTTAAAATATAATAAATCATTTAATCAATTTATAAATTTATTTAGTTGCGATAAAAATTATAATGATAAAATTCTTTATAATATTTTTATTTTATTTAAATTTATGTATACAAATATTTTATTTTTTCTTTAAATCTTAATAACATGTAATTTTTAATAATTTACAATAATAAATTTTTTTAATTAATTGTGTTTTGTTTATTATATACATGTTCAATTAAACTATGTAATATTACGTAATGTCTAGTATGTCATTATTACTACTAATATCACACATTATATGCAAAACTCTCTCTCTCTCTCTCTCTCTCTTTCTCTATCCTTAAGCGCTTTTTTCGCTAAACTTTACAGATTTTGCACCAGAAAAACATATCATTAGTTATTTATAGATAAATAGCTCTCTCTCTCTCTCTCTCTCTCTCTCTCTCTCTCTCTTTCTCTATCCTTAAGCGCTTTTTTCGCTAAACTTTACAGATTTTGCACCAGAAAAACATATCATTAGTTATTTATAGATAAATAGCTCTCTCTCTCTCTCTCTCTCTCTCTCTCTCTCTTTCTCTATCCTTAAGCGCTTTTTTCGCTAAACTTTACAGATTTTGCACCAGAAAAACATATCATTAGTTATTTATAGATAAATAGCTCTCTCTCTCTCTCTCTCTCTCTCTCTCTCTCTCTCTCTCTCTCTCTCTCTCACTCACTCACTCACACACACACACACATTGAACCGCACTTTTCCAACTAAACTGTGTGTAAAAACTAATGGATAGATATATAGATGGATGATATCTATATATACAGTAAATATATATATATAATATTGGGTGCAATTTTTCAACAACAAAAAACTGTAATTTTTTTTATTGTGTTGTAAACTAAAGTATTTTTTCGGCTCAAAAATTGCATTCAAAAAACTAAAAATTTTTTTTGTTCGCTATGTTTGATACACATCATTGAAATTTTGCACATGATTTTCATGCCATACATACATACCATATATAATATATTCAATAATATTATATATATATATATAGTATAAATACATTACATATAAGTAATTTTTTTGTGTGTTTTTTGGTTGTATAACCAAAAAATTCAATTAATTATTAACGCTTAATGAGAGCCAAAAACACATTGAAAATTATTTTATTTTTTTACTAAAATATAATGTTTTTTATAAAAAAAAAATAAATTATGCTTATGTTTGTAAAATATATCTATAAATGAATAGTTTTTTTTTAATTATCGTATTTTATATTATAATTATAATTTTTTTTGATGCAAAAAATAGTGGAAAATTAATATAACAATAGATTGAAATAGTATTTATTAATATATATATATATATATAAAAAATTT